CATTCACTTCTGCCGCCTCTACTCGTTTCTCGCTATCCTCTCCCTACTCTCTTCTCTATCTCCGCAGTAATTATCTCTCTAAAACGCTTTTACCAAGTATCCGCTCTCACTCGCACAGCCATCCGTCCACACGTCACCTAACCAAGTCGCTGTTCGATATTCCTCCTGGGCACGTTTGATTCGCGTCACCGCTTACGTTCTTCGGTTCGTTTCCGCTTGCCGTCGAGCCAACCTCGATCGTCATGATCCTGTCATTGACTCGAGGGCGCTCACGTCCCTTGAGTACACCCGAGCGAAGATCTTCTGGATCAGACGCGTTCAGGAGGAGCTTTTCGCTGACGATCTGCAATCTCTTTCAAAGGGTCGATCGCTACCGGCAAAGAGTTCAATTGTCGCGCTCAATCCTTTCCTTGACCGCGACCAGGTGATGCGTGTGGGGGGTCGGCTGAGAAATGCTCCGTTGCCATACGACATGAAACATCCGATCCTTCTCGCCCCACACCCTCTCGTACGTCTCATAGTTGCTCAGGTTCATTTGCGCTTCCTTCACTCTGGTCTCCAACTCACGTTGAGTTCCCTTCGCAGGGAGTATTGGATACTGCGCTCTCGCAACCTTACAAAGTCTGTTCTTCGCGAATGCGTCGTTTGCGCTCGTGAGCGGGCTTCTGTTCCGACTCAGCTCATGGGTGATCTCCCATCCAGTCGCGTGTCGCCCTCGTCTCGCTGCTTTGCCCATTGCGGCATCGATTATGCTGGGCCTTTAAAGGTTCGCGCCTCCGCAGGGCGAGGCATAGCATCCCGAAAGGCCTACATCGCGCTCTTTGTTTGTCTAGCGACCCGCGCCATTCATTTAGAGTTGGTGGGCGATTACTCCACTCCTGCTTTCATCAGCGCCTTTGCGCGATTTTGCTCGCGCCGGGGCCTCCCCCAATCCATGTACTCAGATAACGGCACAACCTTCGTTGGAGCCGATAAGGAGTTAGCGACGGCCTATCGAGGTGCGTTGCGCGATCCGAATTTTCTGAATAGCACCGCGAGCGACGGTATCACGTGGAACTTTATTCCGCCGTCCGCTCCTCACTTCGGTGGGCTCTGGGAGGCTGGAGTCCGCAGCGTGAAGCATCACCTGCGTCGCGTGTTAGGAAGTCACACGTTGTCATTCGAGGAGTGTTCGACCCTCTTGTGTCAAATCGAGGCGTGTCTTAACTCGCGCCCGATTGCTCCTATCTCTGACGATCCTGATGATACTCGATACCTGACTCCAGGACATTTTTTGGTCGGTTCTACCATCACTGTTCCTCCAGAGCCGTCAGTGCTCAATCTCGCCGAAAATCGGCTATCACGCTGGCAAATCGTTCGCCATATAACAGAACGCTTTTGGAAGCTTTGGACGACGGATTATGTGAATACGCTGCAACAGCGTAGCAAGTGGCGCAAAATTCAACCTCCGGTGACCATTGGACAACTCGCCTTATTACGCAACCCGTTGTTACCTCCCTGCAAATGGGAGCTTGGTCGAGTCGTTCGACTTCATTCCGGCTCTGACGGTCTGACTCGCGTAGTCACCATTAAAACCGCCGCCTCGGAGTACGTGCGCCCGATCTGCAAATTATGTATCCTACCGGTCACGGATACAGATCGTCCTGCCGCGTGACCATACCCGGCGCACCGACCGTGAGTATGCCTCGGAAGTACAATAGATCACGTCTTTACAAGCTCAATGTCCATAACCAATTGTCTACTTTAATATGTCATTCTCCGGATGCCTCATTCCGATTGTTACACGGCTCACGACGCCGACGGCGTGACCTGTGCGTCTTCAAACCCCCGTCGTGGAACGCAGTTGTTGCTCACCTAGAGTAATTTCGAAACTGCGTTTCAAGGCGGGCGGTATGTTCAGGATTG